GACAACGGAGGAAAACATTTCAGCAAGACTATAACAGGTATGTTGTCCGCACCACAAGCAGTAAAAAGAGTCTAAGCAGGAAGTCAATGTAGAAACAGAATTAGAAGTGATACGAATGCCAAGGAATGAATCAACCTGTTTGTCGGCTATATCAAGTAGGATGTGATTAATGGAATCAAGATTAATGAAAAGTTATTAGCAAACAATTCAGTTTTGTCTTTAGATGAGCTAACAAAATCTGAGTCATACAAAAGAGAAGATTTTCATTTTTCAACAGATTTTCCTTTATTATAGACACTGTTAAAGATTCTTAAAAAGTCTTTTGAGCTTAAATTTTGAGAAGAAATACAAGATCTTGTGACCTGAGAATATTGGACCTTTACGTTAAACAAAAACTTTTTACAATGTTTCTAGCACAAGTAAAACAGACATCTATCTTTCGGAGAGTTGTTTGGTTTAAGAGCAATCACAAAAAAAATCCAAAAAAAAGATTTTTTTTGTGATGGCCCCTAAAATTTTCTTACAACTACCTTAAAGCCCTAATCAGCTTTAAGGTAGTTGTAAGAGGTACAATGATTGGGGGATTCCGATGATGAAGAAGTACGAAACTTTTAGGAGAGATTAAAATACGAACAGCACCACCTAAATGTGAATTTGGAGAAATTGAGCACTGGCTAGAATTAGACATAAGTCGAGTAGAAAAGATAAACGATTCGGATTGTCTGGAAAGCGAGTTGGAAAGTTGATCATTTGTGTTAGAGAGTTTGCGGGTTTAAAGGTCTACAGAGCCACTGACACAAGAGGCAACCCATTCAGTCTGATGAGCGTTAATTAAAAGTTATAAGTCATGTGCGGCTTATTGAGTTTCAAAAACGTGGTATGTTAGATGTACATATTTTATTGCACTTTGTAAATGCTGATAAGCTAAAAACAGCAGAAGATATTAATAGTTTAATATAGGTAAAAAATCCAATTGGACTATGCAGAATTTTAAATCGCAGTTCTCACTGCATTAAAGATGGTAAATGTAAAAACAAATTTCCTAAAGAATTTAATCCCAACACTGTTGCAGTTTTTAATGGTTATCCTCGCTATAGACGTGTTAATAACCGAAGAAATCTCAATATAAAAGGTAATCAAATTGATAACTGTTGGGTTTTACCTTATAACCCATGACTAAAAAATATATCTAAAATATATCAAGCGCACATAAATGTTGAAGCCTGCATGACAATAAAGTCAGTTAAGTATTTATATAATTACGTTTACAAAAGGCATAATTGTGCCAATGAGTTAATAAACGAGCAACTTAACCATGATGATATAAATACGTTTTTAAATTGTCGCTATTTCTCAACTCCAGAAGCATTTTTAAGTGATATGTGACATAAAATCATTCGACTTCAGGTTCATCTACCAGATAATCAGATATATATATGTAGAAGGTGAAGAACAGGCTGCTTTAGACCGTATAGCACAGTGTGACACTCATCTAACTGCATGGTTTAAACTAAATGCTGAAAATAAACAAGCCCAACACTATTCGTATGTTAAAATTCCTTACCACTTTGTTTTTGATTGCAAACATTGTAAATGGAAAGTTAGGCTGAGAGGTAGCAGTAAGGTAATTGTAAGGATGTATAAAGTAAGTCAAATAGGTGAAGTATTTTATCTTAGAATGTTACTTTTACATGCTAGAGGTGCAGTTTCTTTTGAAATTTGCGTACTGTTAGTGGTGCAGTTTTTAATACATTCCGTGAAGCATGTTCTCAATTAAGTCTGTTTCAAGATGACACTGAATATAGAAATACGTTAACTGTAACTGTTTCAACTCGGTTGCAAAAAAAACTAGACTATTATTTTCCATTATTTTGACCCTCTGTGAACCTGATGATCCATTAAATCTTTGCCTTTTAAATGCCTTTAAAGATTTTATGATGGAGGATTACGTTCACCGTTCTATGCCACCGATAAATACTGAGCAGGCAGCCTTGCGTTAAATTGAATCTATAATTAATCAGAATGGTAAAACTTTAGCTGATTTTAATCTTGCTACTTTAAATGAGTTTTTTGGCAGGTGGTAATAAAACTTTTACATACAACTATTTATCGCTGAAACCAGCAGTAGACATATTGCAACGGCAACAGCTGCATGGACAGGAATAGCTGCAACTCTTTTAAAAAAAGGATATACACTTTACGGTCTATTTAAAATTCCTGTGCCAATTTTGGAAAATAGCACATGCAATGTAACTCCAAATTCTATACACGGCCAATTCCTAAGGCGAGTTATCTTGTATTTGCTCGATGAAGCATCTGTGTTACCCAAACATGCTTCAAATGCCATTGATAGTTTAATTCAAGATGTTTAAAATAACAAGTTTTCATTTATTGTTAAAGTTATTTTTATGGGTTGGAACTTTAGGCAAATGATTCCGGTTGTAAAGAGAGGGCAACCTGATAATATTATTGAAGCCTGTATAAAATTTTTTCAACATTTGCAATATGTTCAGCAATTTTCATTGATTCGGGCAGAAGAACTTTTAATAAAGTTGGTATTCATCTCAAAAACGCTTGCTTTTCACATGGTCAAGTCTATGTTGCATGCTCAAGAACAAGATCGCTTATTACCTTATTTTTTAAAATTGATGAACATTTATTGTTATTATTGTTATTATTATTACTATTAATATTATTATTATTAGGTATGTCATTTAATAAATGCTACACAACAATGTTGTATTTACCAATTTGTACTATGTGTTAAAATGTTATGATTTAGAGTTTGTAAGTGATTATTATGTTGTTTCCTTGGTTTCAAAGTGGTGTGACTTGGCTTTATTTACAGCAAGAGTGTTGTCCTTGCTAGCCAAGAGGTGTACTGACATGAAACACATGATAAAGCCTGTTTTTAATCACAAAATGTGTATATACAAGTATGTTATGCTGTTAGTTAATAAAATATTTACAATAGAATCTAGATAACACAATAAACCCTAATAAATCGAACTAAATTTAAAGTTCCAGTTGATCCTTTATTTATGTATTATTCTCCCAATTACTCAAAAATTTTCTAATAAGCAAATTTCTTGGTCCCTTGGTGGTTTCAGTTATTGACTGTTTACTGTAACATTGTGTGTTATTTGTTAATTTTGTGATGTTATTGTTGTGATGTTTCGTGTTAATAGACCATTTGGCTTACCTTCACGTTGGTGTCTATTGTTAAAAATGGTTATTGAGTTGTTTCATTTCTGAAGCTGACTATATAAATGTACACTGACTATATCCATGTATATTCATTCGTCTAAAACCAAGAATTCAATTTTTATATTAAACCGTAAAGGTTATTCTTTTTTTTGATTATTTTTAGCGTTGCTTTTTTTAAAAAATATTTATAATTTAAACGTGCAACAAAAAAATCTTGAAACTTTCACAAAAGCACAGATAAAAAAAACATCTCTCAAAATAAGTTTATCCCCTTAATCACATTTTTGAGTTTTCAAATAAATTAACTAAACACATATATACATTAATGCGTATTGCTTTTAATAATTTTGTTTTATTTTTATGTCAAATTCCTTCCTTTTAGGTCGCATTCCTGTTGATCGTTTTTTAAAAGCCAGAGGGAAGTTTTGGTAATCTTAATACCATTTACTAAAAGCTATATAATAAAAAACAAACAATTCAAATTGATTTTATAAAGAACTTTCTATACTACTTTATGTTGAACAAAAAATTTGTAGTTTTACCTTTTTTTAATTTGTAATTTTTAATTTTATCTCAAGAAAAATGTTTTTTGTTTCTCACACAAATTTGTATATTTTTTATCTTTGAAATTATAGTGTTGTATGGATACATTGCTATAATTTTATTTTTATATATGAATGGAAACTGTTTAATCTTTTACTAGCTTTTTAATTGCAGGTCTAGATATTTCCATTCCCAATACAAGTTTTTTTTTTATTGGTGCAAATAGCTATAGTAGTTTAATAACTTCCTAAAACCGGGGTTAAAAACCGGGATTAAAAATAACTTGAAAGATTTTGTTAAGAGTTTATTGCAGAAAAGTTTCCAGTTTTACTGGAAACCGTGTTTTTTTTACTGGAAACCCAGTTGTTATTAAGCAATATAATCAGTTTATAACTTTAGTTTATAACTTTAGTTTATAACTTTAGTTTATAACTTTAGTTTATAACTTTAGTTTATAACTTTAGTTTATAACTTTAGTTTATAACTTTAGTTTATAACTTTAGTTTATAACTTTAGTTTATAACTTTAGTTTATAACTTTAGTTTATAACTTTAGTTTATAACTTTAGTTTATAACTTTAGTTTATAACTTTAGTTTATAACTGTAGTTTATAACTTTAGTTTATAACTTAAGTTTTATGTGAAATTTTTTTAAGTAAAAAGAAGTTAAAATCTGCTATTTTCAAAATGTTCTTTTCTAATTTTTTTTTTTACGTTAAATTGAGTTTTATCTGAATTAAAGTTCACAAGCCAATGTGAGCCGCATTTTTTCCGCTGTTTATTAAAGTTCATTGATGTAAGAACACCAAATGTAAAATATAGTCGAGTGTGGAACAAATTTACCATGACCCGTATCGTACGGATCATGCAGCTAGTCTTAATGGTTGATGTAGCCAGCTAGTCTTAATGGATGATGTAGCCAGATTTTTTTTTTTTTTTTTTTTTTTTTTTTGATTTTTATATTATTTTTTGATTTTTATATTTTATATTTTATAATTTTATATTTTCTTTAGATTTGTTGATTACGTTTTATTTTATTGTGTATGTTTTAATGTAGTTTATATAAACACGCTTGTAAAAGGTTCTGAAGATAAGATCAGTACGATCATTCTTCAGATACCTTGTTTGTGTTTGTGAAAGTAACTTATATACTACAACAACAAATGTGAATTCAAAAAAAAAAAGAAAAAAAAAAAAAAAGAAATAAAAAACTAAAAACAAATAAAAATTGCATTAATATTTTTACAACAATTTAGTTAAAAATAAAATTTTATTCCTATAACTCGAATGAATTGGTTTAAATATCGAAACAAATTAACCCCTATAATAAAATATTGCGTAACAGTAATCAAATAATTAAACAACTTGTTTGCTGTTTTTCTAAATTGTTCAAACAGAGTGCAATATTTTTTTTTGTTGCTATTGTAGAAGGATGATTGATACCTAAAACTTCAGTTTGTATTTTTTCAACAAACTTAAATATTTCTAAGGCTTCTTTATACTTTCCCAAAGCATTCAAACAGAGTGCGATATTATGTTTTGTTATCAATACAGATGGATGGTTGGAATCTAAAATTTCAGCTTCTATTTTATTAACGGAATAATAAATTTCTAAAGCTTCGTTATGTTTTCCTAAATCTTTTAAATTACTTGCGATATTATGTTTTGACAGCATTGTATCTGGATGGTTAATGCCTAAACTTTCAGTTTTTATTTTATCAACAGAATATAAAATTTCTAAAGATTCGTTTATTTTTCCCATTTTATTTAAACAACATGCAATATTATTTTTTATTGTCATTGTCAATGGATGACTGAGACCGAAAACTTGGGATTGTATTTTATCAATAGAATAATAAATTTCTAAAGCTTCATTATATTTTCCCATTTCGTGCAAACAAACAGCGATTTTATTTTTTGTTGTTATGGTAGATGGATGGTTGATACCTAAAATTTCGGTTCGTATTTTATGAACAGAGTTATGAATTTCTAAAGCCTCGTTATATTTTCCCATAGCAATTAAACAACTACCAATATTACTTTTTATTGTCATTGTAAATGAATTTTCAATGCCTAAACTTTCAGTTTGTATTTTATCAATAGAATAAAAAACTTCTAAAGCTTTGTTAAACATTCCAGTTTCAATCAAACATCCCGCAATACTATTTTTTGTGATCAGCGTAGATGGATGGTTGATACCTAAAACTTCAGTTTGTAATTTGTCAACAGAATAATAAATTTCCAAAGCTTCGTTATATTTTCCCATGTCGTTCAAACATCTTGCCATACAATGTTTTATTATCAACATTTCTGGATGATTTATTCCATATATTTCTGACAGTTTTTTATCAAAAGTGAAATAATTTTCCAAAGCCTCGTTATACTTTCCCATGTCTTGTAAACACATTGCGATGCCAAATTTTGTTTTCAGCGTGAATGAATGGTTGATGCCTAACGTTTCAGATACTTTTTTATTGACAGAATAATAAATTTCTAAGGCTTCGGTATATTTTCCCATGTTTTTCAAACAGTTTGCAATATTATATTTTGTTTCCATTGTATCTAAATGGTTGATACTTAAAATTTCAGTTTCAATTTTCTCAACAGAATGATAAAGTTCTAAAGCTTCGTTATCTTTTCCCAAATTACTCAAACAGCTTGCGATATAATGTTTTGTTAGCGTTGTAGATGGATGGTTGAAACCTAAAATTTCAGTTTTTATTTTATCAACAGAATAACATATTTCTAAAGCTTCGTTATACTTTCCCATATTTTTGAAACAGAGTGCAATGTTTTGTTTTGTATCAAGCGTAAGTTCATTATTTTCGCCATAAGTTTCTACATTAAAACATTGGATAGCTGTCAATAGTTCGATTGCTTCTTCAAACAAACCTTTGGATACTAATAAATACCTAATAGAAGAAGTCATTTGATGGAAAGTTGTTGACATTATCTTTTTGCTAATTTGAAACATATGAAGAAAATGAAAAACAAAATGATTTCCGTAATCCACGTGTTCATTTACTTCGTTCAACTCAGAAACAAAATAACTTTTGATTAGATCAAGGTACGTATTTGTGGTTGAACTTCGATTTTGAAAGCATCTACACGACAACTGTGTCAGTTCGTGCATTGAATATTTTTCATCACCAAGTGAGTTTATTAAAGAATAACTCATCAGTAATCCAATGGCTTCATCTATTAAATATTCTTCGTTTATTTCCATGTGGTTTGATATTTGAGTTATTAATAATTTACTAATTTTTTGACCGTCGCAATGAGATATACAATTTAGTATTTTAAATGTAAAAGTATTTTTTTTTTCTAATTTTAATAAAACTAAATTAATTGCTTTAATTGCGGATCTTGATTCTTCTTCGGTTGGAAAGAAATCAGTGTCTAATATTTCTAAGGGTTTTAATTTATATCGATTTAGATATTTTTCAATCGATACTTCATGTATATTTATATATTTTATTGCTTGAGTAATAGCAAACGGATGATAACCAAGTTCTTTAATTAAGTTTTGTATATCTTCATTAGTGTTTTCTTTAAGATTACTTTTTACATAAACGAAAGCTTCCTCTGAAGAGAAAACATCAACAAGCATTTTATTTACATTGTTCGACCACGTTTTCCACTGTGAAGTAATCAAACTAAACGATTTTGGTTTTTTTGAAATGTACATTTTCAAATTTTTCACACTTTCGTCATCGACATTGTCAAAAATATATAATGTTTTTTCGTTTTTATAAAAGTTGTGAATTTTCTCAACAATCACTTCTATATTGAAGTATTCACCTCTCGAATCTTGACTATTAATTCCTAATATTTGACAAAGATTATGCATTGAAGTTTGTAACTTTCCAAATCCAGCATCTATCCAAACAAAATTTTCATAGAAGTTATAAAATGTTTCACAATATTTTCTGGCAATATGTGTTTTTCCGACACCTGACATTCCATACAAAACTAAGGTTGTTTTTGTATCTTGTGATAAATAAAGATGAATTTCACTAATTAACTTTTCGCGTGAAAAGAAATTTTCTGAAGAAGTTTGTACACCAAATATTGAACGCACAGTTAGTTCTAATGAAAAAATATTTAATTATTTCAAATAAAATAATTTTCTTTTCTGTCATTTTATTATAATCAAAAGAACAAATTTACACTTCTTAAATTACAACGCGCAATAAACGAGCAAAATAACAATTAAAAATTACAGCTCAAATCTCCTTAAGATTTATTCATTAAAATCTATATATCGAAATTTAAAAAAACAATAAAACCTAATATTTGATATTTAAAAAAAGTTTTTTATAAATTAACTTTTAAAGTAATACCAAGAGAGTTTATAAGTTTTAAAAACATTTTTATAGTTTAAACTTAAAATAATGGTTTGAAAAAGATTAGCTCATTTTTTATTGAAATTTAATTAAATCACAACATTATTTTAAATTGAATATATTTTAAACTGATTTTCGTTAGTTTTCTGGATACAAATAAATATTTGTTTAAGGTGCGCACGTTGGTTTTTCAAAATATTATGAAAGTGCTTTATATTTTGTAAATTATACTGTTTTTTGATGCAAAAAGTATAATTATAATTAAGTATAATTAAAACACGACTTAGTATTTTAATAAATAAAACGTATTTTTTTTTTTTAAAGTATATTTTTTTAGTAAGTATTTTTTTTTTTCAGCACTGGTCAATAACGTTACTTAACCATCTATGTTGCGTGGGAAATTTATTGGATGAAACTTTCTTGTAATAATCTTAACTTTAAAACTTAACTAGGAATGGTAATCTAATCGAAAAAAAAAAATTTTTTTTTCTAAAGTTGCAATATTTTAAAAAATTAACAAATGTTTTCTTAAATATTTCTTATTTTGATTTTAAATATACAAATCATTTTTTACCGTCTTATTTAAATCTTAGGAATTTGGGATAAAAAATATTGTAAAAAAAAATTATTAAAATAATCTGTCAACCGAGGTTATTGTGAAACATTTTGTTACTGGTTTTACTGGTTTATACTGGTTTTAGAGTTTTTAGCGTTTTTTCGTAATAATTATTTGAAAATTAATTTTAAGCTATTGATGTTCTATTTTAAATTTTTTACAAAATACATTTCTTTTGTGATCCAGGTTTACATATAGGAATGGCAATCCCGGGATTCTGGGATCCCCAAATCCCGAGACTTCGTACAAATTGTTCGAAAACCCGGGATTAGTCTCTGAAATTTCCCGGGATTTCAGGATCGTCAAAAAAAGTAAAATTTAATAAAGTTTAAGCTTATAATTGGAATTAAATAATTTGTACATCGTCTTTGAAATAGTAGCTGTTTATTTTCACCACTTTCCAATTTTATCTTATAATTTGGTTTTCCTTATAACGTTTTTTAATAATGTTAAACATTGATTTTGGAACTTTATTGCTTTTGAAATCATGGAATATGAGAACGATGGATTTTCTATGTAAAATTTCAAAATTTTTTTCAATTTTCTGACTCATTGCAAAAACTAATGAGTATTAAAGAAATATTATATCACACACAAGAAAACTAATTATGTTAATTATGGTAGCATCATTATGAAAAGAAATTATAACAATTCATTAAGTGGTTTTTGATATAACTCAATTTAAAATCGTCCGAATTTCAACTGACCATGGTGATATATAAATTCGATATAACTTTTAAGAAATTAAAAGGCAGTTTTATTGGTTGTCTAACTTCTTTATAACCTCAAAGTGAATCTAGTTAAGTTATTTGTACCTCGCTTAAGGTCTTAACTTGTACAAAAGCTTTTTGATTGCTTAAACACGCACTTAAACACAATTGATCTTAGACGATTATTATCTTAAATTCATGAAAAAAACAAAGTACCTTATCAATTCAAAAAAAATGTTGTTATGCCTGGAAATAAGTGGTATTACCAATTCATGAAACGCAATATAAGCCTTAGGTTGAGATTACCTAAATCAGTTTCTGAGACAAGTCCTAAAAGATTGTATTATTTTTCAATAAACTTACTTAACCTGTTGATAACTTCAATGATACTTCAGATTTTTTTTACAACCTTGATGATACTGGAATAAGAGCAGTTCGCAAATAAAGGCAAGTTTTGCTCAAAATTGAAACACCAAGTAGGAGGTATTACAATTAAAAAAAGTGGTTTGAATACCACTGTCGGAGTGAAAGCTGTAGAATCTTTCGTACCTACTATGGTGATATTTAAACGTAAGAGATTAAAAATCAAGCCTAATGGTTGTACTTTACCATTGACAGTTTTTGTTCCTATACCAGTTGGATAACAACAGTTTTATTTACTTTGTGTATAAGTCATTTTATAAACTCACTATTTTATAAACCTCTAACAGAAACAAAAAAAGATTTTCTGATACTTGATTTACACGTGTGAATAAGTGTTGAATGCCACATGTAACTAAAACTTCAAGCCTTAGTTCAAGCTCGGTATCACGGAGTACTAATGCTTTCTTTACCATTGCGTACTACCCAAAGCCCTTTTTAAAATCAATCTTTAGATAAATCATTTTTCAAAACTTTAATTTCTTAATATATTATTGCTTGTGATAAATAAATGCGAACCCGCCTAGGCAGATGTATTATTCAATACTAAGCTATCTTAACTGTTTGGCGAAACTTACTCAATAGTTGTTGGTATGGAAATCGGTATTAAACGATTTAGAGACACTGGGATATGACCAATAGGCTGCTCAGTTTTCCAAGGTGCAAGAATAGATTTTTGCACATAGTGAAATACTTAGAGGAGAGACAAGTTCGAATGCAAACCATTCCGAAATAATGGGTTTAGACATTGTTTGCCTTAAATGACTTTTTTTTTTCTATAACTGTTCTAATTATATTAATTTTATATTTTTTGTTTAAAAAATTTAAATTATTTACAATAAACTTTCTTTAAAAATACTATTTACACATCCAGAGCAAATTTCTTGATTCAGGTAAAAACGAATATCCATAATGACCCAGTCTCAACTATAACGTCATTATCATCAATAAAAAAACATAGCATTATGTTGTTTTTTTTGGCAACTTTACATTAATGGTTACATACTCACACACACACACACACTCTCTCTCTCACACACACACTCACACGTACATACATACGTTCATCTCAAAACGTATTCTATAATATAAATAATACTTTTTTAATTAGAACAAAAATATGAAACTAATTTAAACAAGCAGACGAATCTTATGCTTCAAAAAATTTGTTAGAATTTTTATTGGGTATTTTTGGACTGCATTAGTCTTGATCTATCAATAAAAGCAATATCTTTATTTCTATTACAAGCTTAAAAAGAAAAAAAATTCATGTACAACTGTATTGACGAGTAGTTCTTATAAAGACCTGGTAGTTTCTATAAAGTCCTAATAAATCCTTATAGAGATCCGAAAGAGCTTTACTGCGACCGAATAAAAAGCTATGGAATAAATCTCTTCAAAGTGAAAGCTGCTTTTGCAACCTCTGAAAAGAAAATATAAAAAAACGTATGATAAAGTGTCTTGTTTGTTAAGGTTGATGCCATGCTGACTGTGTAGGTGTTAAACAAAACAAAAATACAATATTTATAATTTTGCCAAGTATAAAGATTTAGCGTATAGTGTTTTATAATATTAATATAATTTTTAGTATTACTCATCATATTCGTACCAAAATTCTAGCAAGCAATCGAGATTGAGAAATTTAAACGTGGCTAAAAAGAGTTGTTGCATATTTCCAGGTTCCAGGTCTTTTAAATAAACATTTAAAAAATGAAATATCAGCGCATGTTTTTGCTAAAATCAGAATGTATCCATTTAATCCAAATTTTTTTGAAGACTAGGTGTTGCACCTTTATTGATAACAAGACAAGCTGTGAAAGTTAATAACGTTGATAAAACACAAGTAATTAAGAAATCAACACATTTAGAAATCAGCTCACTTGCATCATATACCTCCAGCTGTGTCGAATCTTCTCTTTAGATGCAAGGACTTAAATAGAGTAAACAAAAGTTTTCTCCCGTGTCTTTAGCAAGTCCTAAAACTAAATTAAAAAAAAAAGAAAACGGGGAAAAACTGGATATCTGAATACTATTTCGAATATCCAAGATTTAAAAGACAACACAATAGAAAATAATGACAACGAAAAAGAAAAAAAAAATTCTGTTAAAAAGGAAAAAACTATTAAAAAAACAATAAGTAAAGCGTTACTTGAAAAAAAATATTGCAACGATGAAAATAATACAAGTAGTAATGAAATTGACTTTGTATCTGATACAACATGTTTAATTTTTGAAAAACATTGTTAATTATCTTCCTCTAAAGAATCTTAGATTAACTCTTAAAAGTACATTGTTTATGTGCAGACACAGTTAAAGAAAGAAAAAGATTTATATGCGGTGTTTGTAGACTGTTTTTATGATATCCTATGTTATTATTGATAAAAAATATATATATATTTTTTGTTCAGTTTATTTAAAGTATGCCATCATAAGTATGCTATTATAAGTATGACATCATAAGTATGCTACCATAAGTATTTCATCATCTAGGATGGAAAATTAGTACATTTTTTATACTAGGAATAATTTCTATAAAAAAAAAAATTCTAAGCACTCTAATTATTAATTGCTCTTTTGTTCGTAGTTTTTCCATGTAGTAAATGATATATTCTAACAGAACAAAGTTGTTGATAAGGTTTACTCTTAACATGAAATCAAGTGTATGTTATCAAAAATTCAAATAGCAATTTTATAATTTGGAAAAATAAGTTTCAAAGATTCGGAAAAATTTCACTAATTTTCCCGTAAAGTTTTAAGTATGTCGGGTAGTCTTTATCAGGACTTAAGTAATTTTTCTTTTTGTTAGTTAATCCTTATTTCGTTTTATTTTTACTAAATATTAACGTTACTAAAAAGAGATTTTATCTTTTGATTTTGTTTTTTATGTAACACGGTTTTTTCGAGCTATGTTTATATTACTTGTCCTTGTGAAAAGATAACTGTAGTCTTCTTTTTGCCCCGATCATGTAAACTTTTTATTCCTGTAATTTTTAATTG